CATGTCTCGATGCTCATCACTGTGTATATATACATGCATACATACTGTTTTTTGTTGATTTTTTAATTTTGTTTCTTCCAGATGAAAAACTTAATGAAATTGGAATCAATACACACATTATGCCTGGCATGTACACCCTCCTAGATATTGCTGTTTCAGCAACTCCACGCAGACTGCTTCATGCCTATCAGCCTTCAGCATTTCTCACCATCTACACGCTGTTCAACCTTATCTATTATCTTTGTGGTGGAGTGGTAGGTATAAACATGAGTCTAGGATTATTGAAATATTGAAAAAAAAAAATATTTTGCTGGATATAAGTACCTTAAAGTTGTAGGACTAAGTGGATTTTTTTTTTCTTTTTTTTTCAGGATTACCAGGGAAGACCTGCTCTTTATCCAGTATTAGACTGGACACGTCCAGGGACTACAATCTCCATAATGGCAACTGTTCTGCTTGGCCTTATACCATTTTTGCATGCCATTATTTGTGGTCTCTATGCTGCCAGAGTCAAGGCTTGGCGAATTCTGAGGATATCCAGGTGAGCTTATAACGAAAATGTGAATCTTTTTTGTCAATAAATGAAATACTTATAGGATAAAAGAGAAAAAATGAGACAAAGAAGAAGTTGAATAGATAAATAGATAATATTTCCTTAAATTTCTTCCCTTTGTCTAAAATAGCTGAACATTAGTATCCACCTCTATAGATGATCTATAAATGCTATGTATTGTGACAAGATAGATATGATAAGGTCTCGTCCCCTCCTTTTCAAGAAGTATCTTTCTTGTGTAGGTGCCAGAAACCTTATCATTCAGGGGTTGAGCTCAGCACATGCCACTAATCTAATCACAGTACTGCCATTCCCAGTGCTAACTGCTCATATAGAAGGGGAGTTGTGTGTCTCGGCTTAATTTCTGCCAATCCCCCAAGGCCATTTGCAATGTCTGCTGCTGTTATGAATTCATCCACATGTTTTCTAATTCATCTGAAGTGATGATTAATTTTTTCCACTCCCTCTCCCTCACTTCCCAAGCACGTGTGTCCCAAGAGATTTTGGTTCATATGAATATGCATAATATTTGAGAATGGAGAATGCTGGATTGTTTCACCATATTTGAACTCTTATATGTCCATAAATTAAATATATAGTAATTTTAGTTACATCAACAGATGTTGATAAGCCTTGCATTTTAGGAAGATGATTTTCATTTAATATGAGTTTTAAAAGAATTGAAAAGTAATATCAATCAAGTCAAATTAATTTGTGCAATATGCAGTATTAGTTTGGCTTATTATATTTACCAAAAGGAAAGATTTGAAATGGACTGTAAATAGAATTTTTCTGTTTATAGGTATGTACGTGAAGAAGATGAGACTGACCAAGTTGAACAAGCTGCACAGGAACAGAAAGTATAAAAGCTAGATATCCATGTTAGTAAAATATTGATATTACTGTGTCTTTTTTCTCCAGTGATAGGTCTTCAGCACAAATAAAAGGGTTTTGTTAAAACCATAATGAAAAATGGGAGATGTATTGATTTTTTTTGTTTTAATGTTATACTGTATGGTGTAGTAAATTTAGCTTTACAGGTACTTATAGGATTGCATTTAATGTATTTTTTACTTCATTAGTTAATGAAGGATTATGTACAGAGTATTATATATTGATGAGATATATAACAAAATGTTGGTTTGGAATTATGCTTCATTTAAGATATGCTGGCGTCTGAATAGGAATAGTATTTAAACTTATGTAATGCACTGGACAACAGAACTTGATGCTGTATTGTATTTTTTTCATGATGTGAAAATTGGTTAGTGAAAGGGATATTGAAAGAGACTCAATTCACATAGTTAATGTAAAAGGTAGTATTAGCTTAATGGCACAGTGAAACCCACATGCAGCCTGGAGTAACTAGTGTCAGTGTCAGTATACCTTGTGATAAAAAGAATGTGATCACTCAGTTGGATATCATATGGCATAGAGATCTAGTGCTTCCCTGCAGATTTTGGCCATGTCTATATAAAATTTGATGATACTATCGTCACTGAAGATAATTTGGGATTTATTAATAATAATTTATATTTAGTTTAGAATTATCCTGGATTATTTATTGTTATAATACTGGATTAGGGTTAATTGAAATTATTAACAGAACCCTGTGATACCAAAGTCTGTAGTTTAGTTATTTAAAGTTTCATGCATTTAATACCAATTGTAAAAATGTTGGAAGATAAATACTGTGTACTATTTTAATGAAAAACACTGGATAATTCATATTTAGCTTATAGGATGAGTAAAACAGATTGAGAAAATTTCAGGACCGGAACCTTGATGAAAATATCATAATTTTGAATCCTAGTATTAAAAAAGCACAATGATAATTATAGTAAGTACAGGCTTTTATCAAATACATGTGCAATCAGGATATGTAATCCAAGATAGTTGTTAGCTGTTGCTGTGAACAAACTGTATATAAAGAATTTTTTGAGTTGATGTTTTTTTAATTTTTACCAGAAACTTGAAAGCTTGAAAACCTATTGGGAGAAAATTTAATTACAAATGTATCTACTTTACTACATCTGCAAAAGAATATTTTATAATCATGAGAATTATGAAAACGTATCTGTGTACTTATAAAGACACATGGAGTTGATAATTCTTGTAATAATAGTTGACTTTTTTAAATATGAAGGACACAGTGTAGCAAGGAAATTGAAAGAAATAGTGTATTGTATGATCAGTTGTTAATATGCTTGCCAGTTAAAGATCTGAGGTAACTAGTTCACATTAGGCAATTGTATTATCATTCCCCCCCAACCACTTGCCCGTTGTTGTTTTGAGGGGGCATAGGAGATGGAGACTGAGACCCAATGCAGGAATCTCCACTGCCTAGGGCCTCAGCCCTTGACTCAACTTATTTTGCATGGTCTTTCCCCCCTCCAGCTTTTTGTTTCCGTCCCTTCTCCAACCCCTTCTACTATCTACTTCCTAAAGTGTAAGAGCCATGCTGAAAGGATGAAAGGCTGACCTTGTGCCAGTCATGAATGGCCTGCAGGAACCATGGGCACAGTACTCCCCTGATTTAATTGTCTAGCCATTACCCCATTTACATAATCAAGGCTTCCTATGGCCAGTAATGAAGATGTAATACCCCTATTAGGGGCAATGAGGCTTGCCCCTTCAATAAATAGCCCCACCGGCTCCCTGACCCCAGGCTCTCCTTTGACCACAACTCCAAACACTGAAACTACTACCTAATTCTCAATGCCTACAAGTGCATTACCCNCCTTGTGCCAGTCCTGAACTGCCTGCAGGAACCATGGGCACGGTCTTCCCGATTTAATTGTCTAGCCCTTACCCCCGTACAGGGCTCTGGGGGTGGACTGTTTACATAATCAAGGCTTCCATGGCCAGTAATGAAGATGTAATACCCCTATTAGGGCAATGAGGCTTGCCCCTTCATCAAATAACCCCACCGGCTCCCCAACCCCAGGCTCTCCTTTGACCATGACTCCGAACACTGAAACTACTACCCACTCCTCAATGCCTACTAGTGCATTACCCACTCAAGCAGAGACTCAATCTCCAGAAGACATCCCTACCCTCCCAACTTCCTCAAATTCATCAACTCTACCCCTACAACATTCATCAAACACCCCAACCTACCTTATTACTACCTTACAGCCTTATTCTCCATCTCTCCGTAATACTACCCCCCTCAACAACACTCCCGCTTCCACACACCCCTGTCCTTTTACCACCACCAACCCTACAAATATCTTAACTATTCTATTTAGCCCAGCTAAATGGAACTGATTTTTTGTGATCCCCCCTACAGCTCCTTACTCAGGCAACACTCTGCTCTTTCAACAATGTCTCCAAAAACATGTAGGCAGAGTAACTTTCCGTACCCGAAGCGATCGCTCCCGTCTTGTAAGTCAGATCTGAAGCTGAAGCATTAGCATTATCAAAACTAACTGATCTCTCTGGCAACCCCATCTCTGCAGAACTTCATCCAACTCTTAATACTTGTACCGGAACTGTCTCTATCTCCCCAGCAAACTGCCCAGTCGATACCAAAGATTGGTCAAATTGTGGAGAAGACTTGTTCGGCTGCCTCAAAGACGAGGATGTGATATCAGTACATTGCTATTCCATTCCTCCTAGAGGTCATCAAAAGAAACCCACCAACATTGCCAAAATTACTTTCAGTATCCATGACCTTCCCATTCGTATCTACATTGGTAGATCCCTCCCTGTTCAACCATACCAACATCCTCCCTGTCAATGTCAAAATTGTTGGCGATTTGGACATCCTGCCAAACACTGCTGCTCCAGACCAATGCCTCCTCTGTGCCCAACCTGGTCATAACAGATCAAACTGCCCTGCACAAACACGCACATGTGCTAACTGCAGCGGCCCCTATAATGTATTTTATAGAGGCTGTCCCACTTACAAGTTTGAGTCTGAGGTAGCAGCTCAGATACAAAAATGGTCTCACTCTTATACTTCCTACTCCAGTAATGTCACTTGTTCTGCCCTCCCCCTCCACCTCAAGATGTTCCTACAGCCTCCCCTATATCTACTTACTTCCCCACTTCCACCACTTCCACTTCTACATTCGACCTCCCCCAGTCAAATTCTTTTGCCACTCTAAATCCAGACAACCCAGTCTCAACTACAGCCCCAACACCATCCCCTCTTCCTCCCCGCACTACCTGCAGTAGACAGACGAAACGTTGCACCCCTTCTTCCCCTGCCGCACACTCACCTCCACTTACCTTTACCTTTACTCTTCAGACACCAGTCTCCTCTTCCCGCCCTCATAAAGAAAACCTTTGTCTCACAAAACTCTCCAACCAACTCCACTGCAGAAACTATGGAAGACATTCAAAGCTATATGCTTGAGACACAAAATTCCACAACTTATGCTCTCTCCACACTTGAAGTTATTGCTGATATCCATAACCCTTTCCCTCATCAACAAACTTACCCATCTTCAACTTTCCAACATTACTCTAGATAGTTGATGCATAGCAACTATCACCTGACATCACCTTTTACTATACTTTCCTATAGTGCTATATGACAGATGTCTATCACATTTATTTTGCTTTTAACCATTAACCATCTTCTCTCATAAAAACCTACAGCCCTCTCTGCAGCCCTTGTTTAACTTATTTTGTCCTAATTATTAATTCATTTTTAACCTTTTTGCCATAATACCTTATCATAATGCTATATGACCTATCCTTACCTGGGGCTTCTACCCCAAGCCTCACCCTATTATATTTTTTATATGCCGCTGATGACTTTCGATGTTGACACGGCAGGAATTTTTAATAAATAAATATATCAATGAGAAATCACATCATACATGGGTTGAAATGCTTGGCTCTTTTCTTGTAGTGGTGTGTTTTTTATGGTAAGAGAATTGCTCACATATTAAGACAATTTCCAATTTTTCTCCCATACATGATCTGGTAGCACTGATAAAACTGGACACTAAAATAGATATGTAGAGAGTAAAAAGCATAAATTGACATTTTTTTTGTATTCATTCATTTTAAGTTGAATTCTCCAACTTGAGCAATGGAAAAAACAATAACTGGGTAGACAATCCTGATCGTCCTACATTCATCCTTTTACTTTTTTTTCATTTCCTGTTGTTGCTATTCATCCTTTTTCTCTACTTGCATTTCTCATTCTTTATTTTACTTTTTGGTTTTCCTTTCTTCATTCCGTCACTTCTCGTAAAGCTGTTGTAAGTTTTCAGTTTTTTGTTTCTAGCTGTTGAGTGTTGCCAGACCACAGAGAAAAAAAAAAAAAAATTTGCAGTAATATTTTACAATATCTTACAACCAACTTCTGATGTTAGTATGAATCTCCAAGTGAATGCAGTAGATATATCCACTGAGCAACATGTATATTATGCCAGATGATGATATAATAGTGTAGCTAGTTTCTTTCTACTGACTGGTCCAGCATGCAAATGCTGCTTGCTTGCTTCCAAAGCCAGTATTCTATGATTGAGCTATATATCTACCTCTTCATCCTGCTCACTTATGCATTGGCTGCTTGTCTACCATTTATCATTGTGTCATTCAATATTATTGTATTACCCATTCTATTTTCATTGCTACAGAGGTTTTTATGAGGCTGTTTTTGTCAATATTCACCTATTGTACATTCTGATCCTTACCTCAGCCTAATTAATCAGAACAAAAGGTTATATAATGTAATTAGTGCATTGAGGCAAAAAAAAAAGTAATTTTAACCATTCAGAGATCAGACAGTTCTTGATGATGAATGTTCTTTAGATGAAATAATTAATCTAAAAAAAAATTAATTAACATAATACAAGAAGCTCTTTATTTGCTAAACTATACCTTCTCAAACTGAAAAAATTAAGGAGAAAATCAAACGCCTAAGTTTTCACCCATAGTAATATTGCCATATTTCTAAAAATGTCTATTTTACAAAAGCTAGTATACACAGGGCCATTATATCATGGCCTCTCAAATCATAAATTACAAACTACAATACACAGAGTTGAAATATGAATTTACATAATGTCAGAATTCATAAATTTCTTGAACAGAATCACTAGGGTAACATATTTACAATATTGTACTTACAAAAAAGAAAAAAAAATATTGATAAGACTTGTGACAGCATACATTGCTTAAGTATTTTTTTATGAAAAAGTATGAAGTACAGTTGAATGCCTAATAAATTAATGGACATTAATTTAAATACCCTTGACAAGATTTCCAAGTCAGTGATAACAGAAGCAGCATTTGCTACATTGATTGGCAAGAACACTAAAAAATTATTGCTTTATACATAAGCAACTAATCATAATACTTGCAGACAGCTACTAAATTCCTGAACAATCAATCAATTTCTATTGATATCTATACTCTGTTGGAAACAACAGCTGAACCAACATCAACTGCTGGAATCATGAGGGAAGGAGGGGGTTAAAAGTCTGTTTGAGAAATTATTCCATCGCTCAAGAATCGTGATGTCTAAAGCCCAATTATGATATCAAGGCAATTCAAAGCTTATGGCAAAATCTGAATTATTGACCAAAGGGCCTTAAAAACCTAAAACAAGTGGGCACATGACAATCCTGCAGCGATGTTTTTCTACCTGGAATCTTCACCAGAACCACACCAAACAGTCAGGAGGTCAATTTCCTGACCTGACCACATAACTAGGGACCACTAAGGCAAGCTCCCCTAACACAAAACTATTTATCAAGAATAATTTATGATAAAGTTCAGTGGATCTGTGCCATTGTTTATTACACAATCAAAAATGGCTCAGCAATTGTAGACATAGAAATTTCTCACACAAGAACCTTTGGCTCAGTTACCAAGTGTCACAATTACAACCTTAAGTCAGACCTAGTTCTGGATCACACTGACAAGGAATGATTCTCTGCGAATTGTATAAATAAAGTTCTTTCTGGAGCAGTTTCTGAATA